GTTGCTCCACCTGTTGCTTTACACTGTTGCTCCACCTGTTGCTTTACACTGTTGCTCCACCTGTTGCTTCACACTGTTGCTCCACCTGTTGCTTTACTCTGTTGCTCCACCTGTTGCTTTACACTGTTGCTCCACCTGTTGCTTTACACTGTTGCTCCACCTGTTGCTTTACGCTGTTGCTCCACCTGTTGCTTTACACTGTTGCTCCACCTGTTGCTTTACTCTGTTGCTCCACCTGTTGCTTTACTCTGTTGCTCCACCTGTTGCTTTACACTGTTGCTCTACCTGTTGCTTTACACTGTTGCTCCACCTGTTGCTTTACACTGTTGCTCCACCTGTTGCTTTACACTGTTGCTCCACCTGTTGCTTTACACTGTTGCTCCACCTGTTGCTTTACACTGTTGCTCCACCTGTTGCTTTATTCTGTTGCTCCACCTGTTGCTTTACACTGTTGCTCCACCTGTTGCTTTACACTGTTGCTCCACCTGTTGCTTTACACTGTTGCTCCACCTGTTGCTTTACACTGTTGCTCCACCTGTTGCTTTACACTGTTGCTCCACCTGTTGCTTTACACTGTTGCTCCACCTGTTGCTTTACACTGTTGCTCCACCTGTTGCTTTACACTGTTGCTCCACCTGTTGCTTTACACTGTTGCTCCACCTGTTGCTTTATTCTGTTGCTCCACCTGTTGCTTTACACTGTTGCTCCACCTGTTGTTTTACACTGTTGCTCCACCTGTTGCTTTACACTGTTGCTCCACCTGTTGCTTTACACTGTTGCTCCACCTGTTGCTTTATTCTGTTGCTCCACCTGTTGCTTTATTCTGTTGCTCCACCTGTTGCTTTATTCTGTTGTTCTACCATTTTGTTCCACCCGCGATGAGTAAAGTGAGGGTGAGGGAAGACTCATCAGCGAGTCACTCCACCCCCCCCCCCACGGGGGGTCCCACTGGTGGGGGGGGGGTCTGTGATAGCGTCTATCCTGAGTGATACCCGTCCAGGGGGCGCTCACTGGGGTCACTGTTGGCAACGGGTCCTATCACTGCAACGACGGAACGGTTCCAGTGATCCACCACACACCAGTGATAGGAACCATCCACTTAGGTGGATTAATACGCCACCCTGGGGGCCCGAGTTCGATTCCTGA